GCTCATCACCAGAACCTCTTATAGCTCCAAGCTTAGTGGATTTTTTCTTTGTCATACTTGTAGCTAAATAATTTTGAAAATGAATCCAATTATACAGAAGAAAAAAAAGAATTATATATACTACCTCCGTTTTTTTTTATGTGCAACTTTGGCACATAAAACGGTTCACGAGGCAAAAGATTGAAGGGCAAAGATTAAGAAAGTATAATGGTGATTAATATATTATAAGAGTATGTAATTAAGGTGGAGAGAGAATGTTTGAATAATTAATCAAACCACCCATTGCCACCACCAAGACCAACCACCACCGCCGCCGCCTTCACCACCACCACTGTCGGCTTCACCACCACCGCCACTGGCTTCACCACCACCACTACCACCCCCACAAAACCACCACCACAACCGACCCCACGAAACCACCACCACCCTCACGTCTTTCCTTCTTTTTTCCGGCAGCCCCCTCCCTAACCAAAAAACCCAGATCTAACCCAGACCACCTAGACCCACATCTAACCCAGACTACCCCACCACCTAGACCCACATCTAACCTAGACCACCCCACCACCTACGCCACCAAGACCCAACCCTAACCCAGACCACCCCACCACCCAAACCCACCTCTAACCCAGAAAATCAAAACCCAGAAAATCAAAATCAAAACCCTGAAAATCAAAATCAAAGATGAAAGAGAGAAAGCCGGTGGTCATAGGGAGCAACAATTGGGCCGGAATCATCACCGGTATCCGAGAACCCACCACCGCCGGCGCCGTGAACAAACTTGCAGGCGTTACCATTCGAAAAAGGGTCGTTCAAGAGACCCAGTTTTCGTTCAAGAATTCGGGTCTTTCATTGATGGGTTCGGGTTTGGATTCGTGTTTCTGGGTTTTGTCGATGAGAGGGAGGAAACGACGGTGGCGGAAATGGTGGTGGTGGAGAGGGCGGAGATCGGCGGAGACGACGATGAAATGGGGGTTGTTGGGGAGGTCGGAGTTAGGGTTTTGAGGGAGGAAAGAGAAGGAGTAGGTGGAAACGATGAGGGTGTTGCAGGGGTGGAAAAGGAGGCCGGGACGGGTTGAGACGGCCGAGAGGATGGTGGAGATCAGGAGGAGAGAGAAAATGGAGGTCACCGACGATGACGCCATTGAAGGAGAAGTGAAGAGAGGAGAGAGAAAATGGCAGATTTGGGGGAATTTGGGATTTCTGAGGTGATGAAGAAATTTGGAATGAATTTCTGAGGGGAGGTAGTCTTGGAGAAGGTACAATTAGGTTAATGATTTTAGATTAGATAAAAAAGTTATTGTGATTAAAATAAGATAAGAATAGCATTAAGAAAATCTGAATTTTTAAGTAAGGGTAAGTTTGTAATTTTCAGGGTTTTTATTTACCAAAAATAGAATGAAAAAGGAAAGTTGCACATAATAGTGAACGGACTAAAATGGCAAAAGTTGCACATAAAAAAAAACGGAGGTAGTACATATATACACGCATTCATAAAGCAAGCTTGCACAAATAAATAGTAAGAATTATACAACCAAACAATAGCTATATATAAGCACTCATAAAGCAAACTCTCCATTAAATTTTCATTCTAAATTCAATTATATATCTAGGTTTTTTAATATCAAATTTGATATACTGGTATCCCTTTCTATCATAAACTAAGCATATGTGACATGCCGACATCGTTTACTAATAAAAATGTTGGACAGAAACATAGGAGAGGCGGGAAAATTAGTGCAGATGCATATAACCCACACATAGTGTAAGCAACCCCACTAGCTACCATTAGTGATTTCGTTTGTAAGTTAATTAGACCTAGGACAAATATCTTAGCATCTGTCAGCAATTACTCAGTTCAGTAACAACTAGACATCAGGGAATAAAATTGACAGTCCTCAATATGCTTTAATTTTTAAATCTTTTCTAATTAAAACTCTTCTGCTCAAGTTACAAAACAAGTAAGGATAACCATCTGTTTAATAATCTAGCTGATTTCACAAAAGGGTTAGCATGATTGAAAGCTTAACAACTAACCTCTATTAACTTAAATTTTAGTGGCAAATTCTGTTCGGTACATTTTTTAGACTAAAGTAGAACAAACAAAATATAATTGATTTCTATAGTGAACAAATCAGAATATATCTCAGAACCCAAGACTCCAGAACCTTATATGTACTAATTATTGATGAATGAATTGAAGTTAAGATCACATTGGAGCTTGGTCAGATTGGCAACTGTAACATTCTGGACAGCCTAATAAACAACCTGGACTGTGCATCAAATTGAGAAAGGTGAGGTTTTGCAATGTTCAGAGAGCAGGTTCAGGTACTATAAGTCTCTAGATAGTAAAATTCACAAAGATTGATCAAAATTGGACTCAAATAAATGGCTTGAATTTTTGGATTGCCCTTCATAGCTGCTAGTGTAGTGAATGTGGCCATTGGAAAGTAATAAGAGAGATGATCAATGATAAACTAAGGGGATGACAGCCTAATCACACGAACACCTCCTAAGACACCCAAAAAATGGCCTCGTTAGCTTTCGAGGGTGTCAGCAAAACACCCTAAAAAACGCTCTAAAACTCACACCCGTTATCTGATGTCATGCATCTACTCATATTAACAAGTGCAAATGTCCATGTCAATCACTAAGCAGCAACAGAAATACAGAGCTATTTGTAAATCATAACCATTAAAATCATCTTAACCCATAATCATATTAAATTACAAAAATAAGACGACCCAGAATATATTACATCTAAAAATCAAATCCAACATCAAATTAACCAGTTATAAATGCCAAATTCACTTCAGAGATTGAAAGGGTAACGATGACTTACATGAAATTCAGAATACAACAACGATTTCGCCGGCATCAAACCCAACTAGCCAACCATAAATCCAAAGAAAGCAGTGTGAGTAGAGAGAAAAGCAACTAGTTAATTACGAATTGAAATAGATACTCTATACTCTTAATTAACTCTCACCTAAGTAGAAAGAAAGAAGGTGAGTAAGTAGAGTAACCGATTGGGGGATATGATGATTTTAAGATGATGACTGTGTTGTATAATAAGATCAACCACTGAAAAGTGGAGTAACTGCTTATTCATGATCAAAAAAATTTGGAGCCAAAAATAATTTACAATTTCGCGGGTTTGGAGAAGAATATGGAGTTGAGGCGTTGAGGAAGAGTTGAGGCGTTGAGGAAATGAGGGTGGAGTGACCTGTTGAGGATGATGGGGTTTGGTTTTTTTTTTTTTTTTTTTTTTTTTTTTTTAATTTATTTATTTTTTAACTTATTTTCTATTTTGAGAACTAAATGTGGACTACTAGCTAATGGTTCTTCTTTTTGGAATAAACTAGGGGATCTTACTTGGGTGGGATTACAAATATCTTAAGGAAACAAAGTTGTAATCTATTATTGGATTATGACGAAGAAATTATTGGATTAAAAAAAAATGAATTAATTAAAATGGGTATTGGTAGCAACTTGCTAGTTTCTGGATGGTAATCTAATAATAATAATAATAATAATAATAATAATAAATCAAACTATTTATTTTAATTGTTTCAAAAAAAAAATATTTATTTTAACGAATAAAAAATAGGTGTACAATAAATTTTGTATATCCGTATTGATATTGTCCTAAATGATTACTAGTTAGGGTCTGTTCTCATACGATTATTTCCAGTTCAGTTCAGCTCTAATAAGTTCAGTTTAACTCCTAATTTCATTCTCTTATAAAATATTCATTTCAATTTAGTTCAGTTCAGCTCTAATAAGTCCAGTTCAGTCATGAGAACAAACCCTAACTTAAAAAAAAAAAAAATGGGTGTACAATATTACTCCTAATATATACACACAAACGTTTTTTTTTTTAAAAAAACCGGGTGTACAATAATTATTGTACATCCATTATAAAGATAGCCTAAAGTGATCAGAAGTTACCCCTATAATGAATAAAAGTTACCACAATATGTATAAAAGTAACCCAATAAAGAAAAGGTTTGTAAGTAAAAGCAACTATAATATACTTATATAACTTATTTCATTGGTTATTTACATTAAAAATTGGCAAAAAAGTTACCCTACTAAACTATTTTACGTGTTCTAAATCATGATTAATTTTATCTAAGCTTATGTGAGATTATTTTTTGTAAAATAAATGGAATAAAGGTGAACATAATAGAGTCTTGTTTGTAATAATATTTGACTTTATACAAATGTAATATTGAATCGAAATCAGCAAAAATGTAATCAAGGAGACCAAAGTCAACTGATACGAAACAGACCCACTCAAACTCGTTTAAACCTAAGCTAATACTCCAATTTGACCATTAACTAATACAAAATTGATGGCTTTTTCCAAATTTGACATGGACCCGATAGTTATTGTCTCGACTCAAAATTGATCAGATCCAAACCGAGGTGGTTCAAAAGGGTAACCTTGACCATTATGACAATCTTTTTAACACAATTGTGAAATTCAAGTTACTATATAGAGTAAAAAGAAACAAAGTTACGTAGTGAGTTTTACCATTAAGTTTTATACAAATGTGAAATTCAATCAAATTCAATCAAATATGTTACTCATTAGTAATAATTAAGTCTTGTTTAAAAATAATAATAATAATAATTAAGTCTAAAATCTAAGGGTTTGTTTTGATTGGCTGAACTGAGCTGAACCGAACTGAACTAAACTTATTGAAGCTGAACTGAACTGAACCAAACTGAATATTTTATGAGAGAAGGAAATTAAGAACTGAACTGAATTGAACTGAATGGAACTTATTAGAACTGAACTGAACTAAAAATAATTTGAAAAGAACAGGTCCTAAGTTTATTATGAGCTAGTATGTAATAATTTTGTTAAAAAATGAGTATGTGATAATGATATAGATTCATTCATATTATTATTATTATTATTATTATTATTATTATTATTATTATTATTATTATTATTATTATTATTATTATTATTATATTGTTGTTTTATATTATTATTATTACATCACTAATCATTGAAGAAAAAAATCACAAAGTTAACTAACCCCCAACTAATTCGTTAGAGACTTAGTTCTTCCTTCAAAGTAGAACAAACAGAACCATATTCAACTAATTCTTCCCAAAAAATAAAAAACCCCAACTAATTTTTCCCTCAAAATCGAACAAACAAAACCAAATTGCCCCTATGTTATTCCAACTCTCATAATTTCGCTCACCTATTCCTAATAGATTAACCCCTAAATAGCATCAAATTTGATTTTGATTTCGATTAAATTAATACTCCGTATCAACTTTTAATTTGTTGGTGTAGATTGAAGAGAGTAAAGAATCAAATATAGATAGTTTGTTGCCATCTTCTAATAATATCTTGGTGCAACCTGAAAATAGCAGCGGGTAGATCGAGGAAGAAACAAAGACAAGTAAGTCCGGCAATTCGACTAAACTGTTCGTTATTTGGTATTTCGTTAACTTGATTATCTAGAGTAACTTGTACTGGGTTTGCAGATTTCATACATTGTTGTAGCATATTCAATTGTTGGCTTTTGAAAGTAATTTAATATGAGTTAAATTTGTGTTCTTATGATAATACATGCATATTTCTTATCTAATCTCTCCATGCTCAACATTGTATGTAATTTAGGCATAAGAGCCGCTATGAGCATCCTGCAAATTTTAGTTAGCAAACTTTGAGTAGCTGAGCTATATTCTTGCCTGATGGGCTCATAAAATTCTGCAATTTACAGTTCTAAGGCAGTCTGATGCTGTAGGAAATATTGCTTGAGTAACTACCTTGAACCTGTCTACCCCCGAGCTGCAATGTGCTTGATGATACACGCTATAAAGAAGCTCCACAAGGCACTTTTTGAAGGTCTAGCAACATTTTTCAAACCTTATGGTCTGAAATTGATCTTGCTTTCCTATCCTCACAATGCTGACCAGACGATTGAGTAGCTTGAATTACTAGACCGCTTGAAAGTTTTATGGCGGGTTCTCTGCGATCTCATTGTATTCATAATGACTTGTATCATCTAAACTTATGCTTAGGAGGATTCTCAAGAAACTCATGAGTAGCTGAAGGTAAGAAGTGCCTACTTATGCCCTGTTGCTACCTATTTAGATGAATTCAAATTACAATAATTCAGAGTTCAGAATCTTACAGGTTTAAAATCATACTGTTTTCTTTATTTTGTATTTTTTTAACTCGAAAGTTGGGATTTGCTTACAGTTTAGATGAATTTAAATTACAGTAATTCTTCATTACTTAACCTTTAAACTAGATATGCATGCTCTTCACTCCCTTTTTAGACATATAACTCACTATGTTGCTTCAGGTCTCAACTAAAGACACCGATATGGCAATCATGCTATTGAACTGTGTGCCCGTCTATGCAATGATACCGGTAAGCCTGCATTAATCAGCATTCAGCCCAAATATTTCCTTAATTAAGTCACATAACAAATTCAAGCAGCAATTCAATGACTAATTTATTTACTTGTTTTGTGGCCTGCATACATTAATCAGCAATTCAGTAAGCCTGCATTAAACAACAATTCAGTAAGCCTGCATTAATCAGCATTCAGCACAAGCATTTCCTTAATTAAGTCACATAAAAAATTATTGTAAGGGCCTATTTTCTGTAGTTATGCTTCTTGGATCTTGCTGCTTGACCATATATTTACAGTGGATGTTTTACATTGAGGCTTTCTTCATCTGTTGTAGGCATATGAGAAATTTGAAGTTTAGGAAATACGGCTCCTTAATCAAGGCCATTTACAGATTCACTACGGCCAAAATTATGGTAAGTCTTTTATATGTAAATTGTTTGTTCTATTATCTTTTTACTTGTTAAAACATTCTGAAACTGAAAAGGGCTACCCTGTTCTGTGTAATGATAAGTAGATAAGCAAAAATAATTTTTTCTATCCCGTCAAAGCGTTCTGCTATTCATAACTTGAAAAATTATTGATGGTTGTTATAATGTGTGAAGGCTTGAGATTAAACATTTTCTCTATCAGCAAGACTTTCAATATTCAACCATATGGCTGATTGAATGTTCAGATTTTGAGAATGGACTAGTTGTGCTTTACTTCACATGCTATAAGGCATTGTTTCTGATTTTCTTGACATTTGTCTTTTACTCTTTTCTCAGGTACATAGCATATAATGATATACACCAGAAGTGCTTAAGTCAGATAAAAGGCGAAGCATTTCAAACATGCCAGAACACTATATGGATGTATGAGTAGGCTTAACACTATACCACAACATTCTTATGGGGAGGGAGAACCTTAAATACATGAATTGTTATCTCCTCCCACAACCCCCAAAATAAGAAAGTCGGTTCCCGTTTGTAGGGAGGCGATCATTTTGTACTTCTTAAAGTTCTTGTTAGTTTGGCACAAGGTTGTAAATTGATTGAAATTGATTTGTTTATGAACGTGGACGTCCATGAGAAGGCTCATCTTGAACTATAATTTATGAACATAGACTTGTTATTGCAATAGTTTATCATGATGGAAATCATTGCAATAGTTTCTTGTTATAGAAACTTTTTATCAGTCATACCAGTCCAAATCTTGTTCAAGCAACAAATTATCTGCACCTCTCACTCTTTAATTGCAAACCATTCCTGCTAGAATCAGAATTTGATTCTTGTTTAACAAAACAAATTCAATTGGAACATTACTTGCCCATAATTACAATTTGATTTTCAAAAAAATTGAATTCTTTGAAGATATACAAGGACAATAACCATGTCCCTTCCAATTACAATGTTGCAACTTAGTTAGTTAAGCTGAGATTGCAACGCAACAAAATTAGTATTGGACTACTAGTGAAATATACTTCGTACAACAGCTATAAGAAAGGTGCATCCATGAAATGGTTGCAACATGTCATACGCAGCATCCTCAATACTTTGTTTCCAAAATGCCATATATAAGACCAAACTCCATTGCCTGCACAAGGAAGGAAGGAATATAAACAAAGGACTCAATCTTGCCGATAAGCCAAAGAAAGGCACGTATGAAGACTTTTGTTATAATAACAAAATCAGCATATTAACAAACACACATAAGATCCGTCTCTGCAAAAAATATTTTGGGTAATGGAACATTAAAGAAAAGGCTTATTGATTTTCCACCTCCGAAATCACGAGTGATGACCTAAAAAATCCAATGTGAGTTCAAACCAAAATTTTGTCGATATCAATGTGTACTGTGAAGATAATGCAAAATGGATTGCATGATCCCATTCATTAAGCACTTTTTTCTGCCAAACTGGTGTGAGAAAAGGATGAAGCAACTTTTAAATACAGGTGAGACATAAATTTTGTGAAATATATTTACTAAATTTTGTGAAATACATTTACTAAAGGAATTCCAGAATCTGAGATGATGGACAAAAACTGCAAGTAAATGTTATAAATAGCTTAAAAAACAAACAAAGTTCAGTGCCAAAATTTGCATATAAAGATTTAATTTTTAAATTTTTTTTTATACAAAGACTGCTAGCCTTTTGAAATTTATTTGTACTGTATAATTACCATCAATTCTACTCGTATGAAAATAGTAACTTTTACATATGTGTTGTATTTTCTACATTGATTTAGCTTAAAAAATGCTGTTGTGAAATGTGAAATCCACCGACCACAATTACCGGTGCTAAATTTTATTTTCTAATCATCAACTATTGTTGTCATACACACCTTTATGAATAGATAATAATTTGTTCTTATTGGCAATAATCTATTTATTATTATTTTTAAACGAATGTTCTAAATAATAACCTATCTTATGTAAGACAATGAAAACTCATGAAACAATCTTGTCTTAGATACCTTGAAAAAGCGTTTTTAAAATTATTACATAAGCAACAATTTTATTGTTGTTATCTTTCTTGGCAACATTTTAAATAATTGTTGTCTTTTGTAAAATAAATAACTACATTTTACATATTGTTGTCTTACATAATCTAAAGCAACACTTTTCAAACCGTTGCATTGTCATATAGTAAAAATTGTTCAAGATCAAGGTAACAAACAAGTATTGTTGCCTTTTACTACAAAAGGCAACGTTTGTCATTTTGTTGCAATTTTGTTCGTTGCCTATTCTCATTTTTTTTGTAGTGCAAGAGGATGCAACAAAGGCCCTTGAAGAATTGAAGGCTCAAGTTCAAGGGGTCATGCTAGTTGCCAAACGCATCTTTAATTATGCTTTATATATTTTGCTTATATAAAATTGTGATGTTAGATGCATGTTTAGGATTTCGAATGTTGAATGATTAGTTTAGTTCACTTAAATCAACCAACATAGAAACCCTGAGTCCTAAAGAAAATTGAGTTAAATCTGCCATTCCAAAATGACACTTACGGAACTAATGAGAATAGTAATGGGCTGTGCCAAAGCAAGACATTACTACTTTCCAAGGGAAGTAAGGTATGTTGGTGCGCTTGCCAAAACAAGGCATCGCATACACGTCAGTTTTGGTTGGACTCAACGATATCAGTAAGGAGTCCTTAGATGTCGTGGCAATGGAGAAAAAATGTCAAGAAAGTATTAGATGCGACGTTTTATTGAACTAAGAGTAGGTTAGAGCTATTAGCAATTGGATTGCTTACCTTAAAATATTAAGTGTTAAGACAAGCCAAATCATGCTTAATCACTTTTTGATTTTTGGGTCTTGGAATCGTTTTATTCTCGCCTAAAAGGGACAATTTTAAATGTGTGGATAAAACGCTTAATAAAATTGAAAATTTGCATGTATGCTTATGAATGGTTTTTCATTGCAAATTCTTTCAATTGTAGAATCATATCTCTAACTAATAACAATAACAGCTACATGTGCTCGGAACTCCCGGAGAAGTTGGCATTTTGCCTAAATTTGGTCAACTTCAAGGAGTTGGAGGAGGAACTCCAAAAAACTCTTCGGAATTGTTCCATGGAGTTTATTCTTGATACTCCCATTCCAAGGTTCTACTCGAAGGGAATCTTGAGTGATGAAACTCATGATGCATGGTCTTCTGATTGCAAGAAAGTCTCATGACTAATGGCTAATTCCATCCCAGAAGAATGGAAGGAAAAGTTCTCCAATTTTCCGGACATGTTCCTCCAAGCACTTGAGGACATTGTCAATGTGAGAGTCACCAAGAGTCTCAATGGCAACTATGATGGACTTGTTTTTGACGTGACTAGGTCACTCTCAAACATGAAGATAAAGCCACTGGAAGAAGGTTTCCTTGCCAAAAAGAGGTACCGGCTTTGGTCGAGGGTCTACAATACCAAATTGAGACCCGATATCCCCTTCCAACTTCATGTGCTTAGAATGACTAGGCTCTTCAAGCATATGGGGCTTCTCGGAATCCCATTGGAGGATGAGATGGCGGGTCATATCTTGCTTGCCTCACTCCACTCGGGCTATGATGCACTTAGGATGCATATAGCTGCGGGGAAGGAGTCACACTCATTGAGAGAGGTGGTGCAGCTACTTCGCAAGGCCAACTCCTATGGAGCAACCAAAATGCCCTTGAGAGCAAAGAAGAAGGAGTTCAAGAACAAAGCGAAGATGTGATTCTTCTATTGTGGTGGGCAAGGCTACTACAAGAGGGAATGCAAGATCTTCCAAAGGGATGAGGAAAAGAGGAATGTTCCATCTACCTCAGGTATTTTCATTAACACTTGTGTATAAGCTATTCATAGGTATTGGATACCATGTATGACTCACTTTATGCTCCCATTTTCAGGGACCAAGTGAGAGGGCTTCACAAGTGGATGTGCAACTACGAGCGGACAATGAATTTGGTCTTTCCGTCATGCTTGTAGGCACATTATTTATCTTTGGCTTGTAATAGAACTAATTCTTGTTTTATTTATATTTTGCTTACCATCGAACATATTTTGATCTATGGCGTTGGAAGTCGGGATGTTTTGATCACAAGACTATAACAATGGTTGTTTTAAATGTCTTGCTTATATGTTTTATGGGATCACACATTCTAAATGTGACTAAACAAATGTTAATGATACCACCAAAAGAGCTAAGACCATTGAATCGAATCAAACCTACTTGTGGCATTGTCGTCTTAGCCATATTAACATCAAATGCATCAAGAAACTTTCCATGAAGGGATTCTTGATTCATTCGACTTAGAGTCGTTTGAAAACTGTGAAGGATGCTTACTAGGCAAGATGATAAAGCAGCCATTCTCCAAGTTGGGAGAAAGGGCTAGTGACTTACTGGGTCTTATATACATGGATGTATGTGGACCAATGAGCACAACCGCAAGAAATGGTTATCGCTATTTTATCACTTTCACATACAACTTTAGTAGATATGGCTATGTATACCTTATGTCACACAAATTTGAAGCTTTTGAGAAATTCAAAGAATTTTAGTGTGAAGTGGAAAATCGACTTGGCAAGAAAATCAAAGCACTTCGATCGGATCAAGGTGGCAAGTATTTGAGCTATGAATTCGACGATCATCTGAAAGAACATGAAATTCTCTCAGAGTTAACACCTCCTGGAATTCCACAATGGTATGGACTGTCCGAGAGGAGAAATCAAACTCTGTTAGGCATGGTTAGATCAATGATGGGTCTCAGCGATCTTTCTATCTCTCTCTAAGGACACGCACTTCTAACCGCGGTACTTACACTGAACCGTGCTCCGTCAAAAGCTGTCGAAAAAACTCCATATGAATTATGGACGAAAAAACCTTCACGATTGTCTTTTCTTAAGATTTGGGGTTGCGAAGCATATGTCAAAAGACTCATATCTGACAAGCTTGCACCAAAATTTGACAAGTGTTTCTCTGTGGGCTATCTAAAAGAAACAAAGGGGAATTACTTCTACAACCAGTCTGAGAACAAAATATTTGTTGCTCAAGATGGTGTCTTTTTGGAAAAAGAGTATCTTTCCAAAATGATAAGTGGGAGGAAAATTGAACTTAATGAAGTTTGAGAAGGTGAGCAACAAAGTCAAACTGACAATCAAAGTGCTTTGGAAGCAACTGTTGAAAATGGTCAAGGTCAAAATGACAAAGAAAATGCTTAACCTATTACCCTACGTAGGCCGCAAAGGCCAAGATCTCAACCAGATAGATAACTCGGTGTTGTCTTAACCGAGAATCAAGACATCCTAGTTATGGATGAAGATGAGCCAGTGACATACAAACAAGCTATGATGAGCGCTGACTCTATAAAATGGCAAGAAGCCATGAAATCCGAGATGGACTCTATGTTTGAAAATCAAGTCTGGGACTTAGTTGATTTGCCCGAAGGTTACACACTTATCGGTTGCAAATGGATTTTCAAGTTGAAAACCGACAAAGATGGAAATGTATGTGTATACAAAGCTAGATTGGTGGCAAAAGGTTACAGGAAAATTCACGGCGTTTATTATGATGAAACCTTTTGCCAGTCGCCTTGCTTAAGTCCGTTCGGATTATCCTAGCAATTGCAGCATATTATGATTATAAGATATGGCAAATGGACGTCAAAATC